CTAAGATTAAAATTTTGATATCTGAACATATATTTAAATTTTATAACTGAGAACACTTCAAAATTTATTGAATGTGAAGAACTGTCATTTCCACATGTTAACTGTATTAGCCAATTGTATTTCTTCTGAAAACTGGTTCAATTGCCTGTTTATTAATTGGATTGCGTTTTCACTTTTTGAACTCTGTATATGCTGGATATTAGTCCTCTATGGTGAATAATTGGCAAGATTTCCTCCCATTCTGTGTTTATTTTGCTTTGCAGAAACTAATGTCCCATTTGTTAAGGGCAACTGGAGTTGTATTTACCTGTGCCTATTATCTTCCAGGGTTTTACTACATTTTTCCTTTAATAGATTCAAATTTTTCAGTCTTTTTTTTTTTTTTTTTGTCGGTTGTGGGGCTTGAACTCTGGGCCTGGGTGCTGTCCCTCAGCTCTTCAGCTCAAGGCGAGCGCTCTACCACTTGAGCTACAGCGCCACTTCCAGTTTTCTGGTGGTTTACTGGAGATAGGAGTCTCAGGGTCTCTCCTGCCCGGGCTGGCTTTGAGCCGAGATCCTCAGATCTCAGCCTCCTGAGTAGCTAGGATTACAGGCGTGAGCCACCAGCGCCCAGCTAAATTTTTCAGTCTTTGAGTTCTTTGATCCACCTAAAATTGATTTTTGTATGAATGAGAAATAGAAGTCCAGTTTCAAGCCGGGCGCTGATGGCTCACGCCTGTAATCCTAGCTACTCAGGAGGCTGAGATCTGAGGATCACGGTTCAAAACCAGCCCGGGCAGGAGAGACCCTGAGACTCCTATCTCCAATAAACCACCAGAAAACCGGAAGTGACGTTGTAGCTCAAGTGGTAGAGCGCTCGCCTTGAGCTGAAGAGCTTAAGGACAGCGCCCAAACCCAGAGTTCAAGCCCCACGACTGACAAAAAAATTTAAAAAAAAGAAGTCCAGTTTCAGTGACCTAACTAGTTTTTGTGTGTATTTTTTTAATGTCCACCTTAAATTGATTCTATACTCACAACTTCTATAGCACCCTGTTTCCTCCTATGCAAAATAAAGATTGGGATAAAAGACCACTTGATCTACCCAGGCACGGTGGTGCATACCCATAATCTCATATTCAGGAGACAGAATAATTCTCAATTGGTGGTAAACAAAAGCCATGCATTACATGATTCATGATTTATACGATTAGAATGGGTAAACCTAGAGACAGGAAGAAGATAATGACTGCCTAGGCTGGGAGATGTGGGGGAAAGAGTAATTCCTAACAGGCATAGGGTTTCTTTTTGAGGCAATAAAGCAGTTCTAAAATTAGCCTGGAATGATGGTTGCACAATTCTTGAATATGTAGTTCCCCCTCTCTACCTTATATGCTCTTTTACTTTCTGTGGTGTTAATACGGATAGTTATCTATGGTGTAAAAATATTAAAAATTCTATCAGTCTTAATTTGTCAATTAATATCATTCAGAGTATGATGAAATCTCCTTTCCCATCTGGGACAAATGATTCATTTGTCTCTTACTAGCTGTCTCTGTTACCAAATCAGCTGTCAGTATTTCATGGTTTGTATTCTAAATAACCATTTTATTTTGTAATAGCCCCAAAGCACAAGATTAATGAGTTGGCAATTTTATTATTTTTTATTTTTTTGTCAGTTGTGGGGCTTGAACTCTGGACCTGGGCACTGTCCATCAGCTTTTCAGCTCAAGGCTAATGTTCTACCACTTGAGCCACACACAGCACCAGTTCTGGTTTTCTGGTTGTTAATTGGAGATAAAAGTCTCATGGACTTTCCTACCTTGGCTGGCTTTGAACCGGGATCCTCAGATCTCAGCCTCCTGAGTAGCTAGCTAGGATCATAGATATGAGCCACCAGCACCTGCCTGACTTGGCAATTTTATTACTACATATTACTGTGATTCAATTTTTTTAGGTTATTGCTAATCTTACTGTGCCTAATTTATGTTTGTTTTTTGTTTTGTTTTGTTGGTCGTGGGCTTGAATTCGGCCTGGGCGCTGTCCCTCAGCTCTTCAGCTGTAGACTAGCGCTCTACCACTTGAGCCTCAGCCCTACTTCTGGCTTTTTCTGCTTATGTGGTGCTGAGGAATCGAACCCAGGGCCTCATGCATACAAGGCAAGCACTCTACCACTGAGCCACCTTCCCAGCTCCTATAAGTTAAATTTAAGTATATCTCACAGGAAAATCTTATATGTATATATACATACATATTCATGTGTATGTATAACCCAGTTACTTCATCTGTAATTATGTAAGTATATTGTATATTTGTGTGTGTGTGTACGCACGCGTGCACATATACACTTCCTCTAATGTTCTTGGAACATTTTTCTACAGAATGTAAGTGGAGACTACTGAAAAAATATTTTGTTGCACACCATAAGTAGGTAAATTGCATTGTGTATTTTATCTCAGCAAAGCTGTTAGTGAACACACTACGTATTAATCTTCAGCTCCTTTGTTTCTCTGCATTAGTGGGAAACCATGTCCTCCTTTTAAGATTGTAATTTTGGATGAAGCAGATTCTATGACCTCAGCTGCTCAAGCAGCTTTAAGGCGTACCATGGAGAAAGAGTCCAAAACAACCCGATTCTGTCTCATCTGTAACTATGTCAGTCGGTATGTATATTGCTTTAAAGATAGTAGATGCTAGGCAGCCTTCTTTGTAGTTGTTCTTGAGAGGGTCTCAACTATGTCTTAGACTGACATAGAAATTATAACCTTCCTACTTCAGCCTTCTTAGCGTTAAATTACAACTAAATTACAAGCATGTGCTTGCTACATCTGGTTTTTAAAATTAGCACATAATTGTATATATTCATGGGGTACCATGCAACATTTTTACATATGTATAATAATCAGAATAACTGACATCACCTCAGACACTCACTTGTTTTAAAAACATTCAGAATCTTCTTTCCTGTTCTGGATAATCCCAGTTACATCCAGAAAAATACACAAATTTTTCAGTCAGTGCTTCATTAATTCCACCATCAGATGTTGACTTAGACACCAATATGTTTTGCCCATTTTTTTTCAGAATTATTGAACCCTTGACCTCTAGATGTTCAAAATTCCGCTTCAAACCTCTGTCAGACAAAATTCAACAGCAGCGGTTACTAGAAATTGCTGAGAAGGAAAATGTCAAAATTAGCAGTGAGGTAATTGCTAGTTATTGGTTACTGTAACTAATTCCTTCCTTTAGTGGATACATATGAGGTCCTGAAAATATTAAATATGTATTACTTACTCTGTTCTTATGCAATTTTCAGCCAGTCTCTGCATAATGACAAGTTTTTAGTAACTAATAATTCTTTCAATATTATATAGCCCTTTATTACAACAGAACTTAACATTAATTTTCTTTGTTCACTTTATATGACCCAGGAAACATAATGAACTTTTTATCTCTGCCAACTTCTTACAAAAGCAAAATATTGCTATCCTTCCATTTGGACAGTGCTATCTCCATGAAATTCTGCTTTTATAGAATTTATTCTCCCCCAAACAAATGTTATTTGTCCACTAACACTGATTTTTGTTTAAAAGTTTTAATTCACCCTTTCAAGTTTAAAAAATAACTCTTTCCCTCTTCAGGAAATAGCTTATCTTGTTAAAATATCAGAAGGAGACTTAAGGAAAGCTATTACATTTCTTCAAAGTGCTACTCGATTAACAGGTGGAAATGAGGTCGTGGAAAAAGTGATCACAGACATTGCTGGGGTAAGAGTATTATTACTTTGAAACTCTAGTTGGACTTTTTTGCCTTATAAAAAACTCAAACCAACAAATAACAAAGCCTAATAACAAGTCTAATAAGAGAATAATTACAAAAATTAGCTAGGCACCAGTGGCTAATGCAAATAATCCTAGCTACTCAGGAGGCTGCAATCTGAGGATCTCGGTTCAAAGCCAGCCTGGGAGGAAAGTCTGTGATATGCCAATAAAAACACTTAGAAAACTGGAAGTGGCACTGTGACTTAAGTGGTACAATGCTTGTATTGAGCAGAAGAGCTGAGGGATGGATAGCACCCAAGGCCCAGAGTTCAAACCCCAAGACCAAAAAAAAAAAAATTCTTGACAATCCAAGTTACCATCTTGTTCCATCTCAGGGACAAGGAACAGCCTTTGCCAGCTTTCTTAACTCCACCTGGGGCTGCAACCTTCACTTTCAGTTCAGTTGCTACTGTGGCCAGAAGTGTGCCTGCCACACCTTCAACCAGACCCTGACCCAAAACTGGAAGCAGGGTCCCCTGTGCTCTGCTCTCTAGATCACTTGTCAGTTCTTTAGAACTTAGCTGGGCACTGGTGGATCCTACTTGTAATCCTAGCTACTCTGGGACAGGGCCACTAAACCTTTCTGTAGTTGTCCAGAACTTTATTCATGAGGTACAATATTCCTAACTCCACAAAGGGATTCATAGAATGTTCTCCAAAACTTAAATTTTTAGGTAATACCAGCTGAAACCATCAATGGAATCATTGCTGCATGTCAGAGTGGGTCTTTTGATAAACTAGAAGCTGTGATAAAGGTAATATTTTACATTCGTATCTGCTTTGTAAACTTTGTAATCAAAATCATACCACAATCTCCCAACTTTATTTTATCAGGACTTAATAGATGATGGCCATGCAGCAACCCAACTTGTGAATCAACTTCATGATGTAATTGTAGAGAATGACAACCTTTCTGATAAACAAAAATCGATTATTACAGAAAAACTTGCTGTGAGTATGCATATTACTACTTTAGTAATTTTTACTTTCCTTGTGACTACTTACTAATCTTTATATTTATTTCCTTATAGGATGTGGATAAATGCTTAGCAGATGGTGCTGATGAACACCTGCAGCTCATCAGCCTTTGTGCAACTCTGATGCAACAACTGACTCAGAATTGCTAAGTTGGCGCTAGTCACCTGGTTTATAAAACCCCCCTTTTGTACAACTGCTTAAAATGCAAATAAAGTGAAAGCTTCATTTTTAAAGTGAATATACAATTTATTTAACATTCAAACTTCATTAAGACATGTGCAATATGGCAATTTTACTGGGAGTTTAACCCTACCTAGGATATGATTGCTTGCTGGGGTTTAGCAACAGGGTCCATTTCACACTTAGCACTAATTGAATAAATACAATACCAAACAAACTGCATTCAAATGCTTTCTAAAAAAATCAATTTTAAAGGCCTTTCTATTCAGGCTGAGAAACACAGTAAAGGCAGATATGCTAGTTTAACATAATTGGCCGATTTTATACAGCACTTATATCTTTTAGTCCACAAGTATATTATTAAATGATAGAGAACATCTAATACAACCATTTCTACATAACTAGGAAATAAATTTCTAAGAAAGAAAGATTTTACAGACCCCATCTTTTATACCCACCCCAACAGTCTAACTCTAAAGAGGATGAAGCCAAGGACTTTCCTCACAGAGCTCACGACTAATGTCGCTTTGCTATCAAAATCTGTATTTCTGATCCGTAATGAGCATTGAGACAAGATTCAAATATTCCCAAAGAAGCACAATGCACGTTGTGGTCGCCTATTCAGCAACAGCGAGCACTGCATTCAAAACTCTCATCCCAGGAATTAAATAAGGTCAGCCACATTCATGGGCATCTCCTCCACTGTAGTATTGTAGAAAGTCTCAATGTCACGAAGAATCCTCTTGTCTTCTTCAGTAACAAAGTTTATAGCCACACCTTTCCTCCCAAATCGACCCCCTCTGCCAATTCTGTATAAGAGAAAGAAAAGGGCAATCAGAAGAACATTACTTCTCAAATGTTTTATGAACTTATTGAACATGATGATCCACTTGTTAACCATCAGCTGCTGTTTACTTATCAAGGTTATAGATCGTGCTTCTAATTGGAGCATTAGCTGCTAAAATCAATACATGGAGGAAAAAAATCTTCCTTTGCAGTTAGTGCCAAAAGGATTCAAGGCTTGTCTGGCTGCAAAAATGAGATATTTATCAGGCGCCTTGAGCATTAATTATAATAAAGCAGATGGCAGTATTGTGTTTGGGGTAGTGAAATTAAAGCCCATACCAAAGTGGGCCAGCCAAGAGCAGTAGTCAGCCTGGGACAGATGTAAACACCAGGGATAAAAGAGAACAGTTATGTAATCCACTCGACGCACTTCTGGAACTGTAAACTGTAAATACAAAATGCTGTAGGTTAACTATTTTCTAAAACCTGACAACTTTTCCAGTGGGAAAACAAATTTGGCAGGGTAAACCCAAACTCATCACTGCTTTTTTTGTTCAGTTTCACACGTTGTATACTCAATTACTCAAAACGTGTTACCTCCAAAACAGCTCTCTACCTTCCTATAGAAACCAGACAATACAAACCACCTAATGCTCCCTAAGAAATGCTAACATACAAAATGCCTTGGCTGGAACAACTTAAAATATCAAATAATCATGACAAAAGAAAAACAAATATAAATACCGACTCGCTCTTTATTCAAACAGTGTGCTGTTTCGCTTATGAATCCACGTCCTAAATTACGTCAACGCCGTTTCTGAGTGCCATCTCGTCATCAACTGGTGCTATCGACTCCTGTATTTTTTAAAAAGTCTTTTTTTACATCATATAACAAAGTACAATTCAATTTATTTAGGGATAAAGCCACTATAACTAAACCAGGGATCACTCAAAATGCTACCAGCAACACCAAGAAAATCCCAACTATAGAAATCACCAAGAAAAAGCACATGGACACAAGATCACTAAAAGTTCAAACAAAACACCAAGAGATCTAAAGCAACCTATTCTGTGTGTATGATCAATCTGACCAACATTTACATGTTTTCCCACATTGCTGAGCAGTCTTCCCAAGGACAACTTTAGATACATCTCACTAAAATTACTGTCCTACTAATCTATCCCTGATTTGATGTCACCTGTCATACAAATCATAGTAGGAAACCAACACATGAATTTATTTCACCAATTCAAATAGGTTTAAGATGCTGTCTTCTCACCTGTGAATATAGTTTTCACGATTGGTAGGTAGGTCATAGTTTATAACCAAAGACACTTGTTGCACATCAATTCCACGAGCCTGAAATACAACAGTGCATGTTATATGTTATAATCTGAATTCAGAAAAATTGAGATGTAATGTAGGCCACAAAATTAGTAATGAACTATATTAAATGGTATAGCCCATTGTGGAGTATGTGGTCAAATTATTTTCCCAAATAGCCTAAGTTGGTAAAGGTTATTGAAGAAAACCTTTCCCCAAAATTAGCTTTTGGTATTCTGTAAGTTAAGTCAAACTTACCAACAAGTCAGTAGTGATCAAAACACGGCTTGACCCTGAACGGAATTCCCTCATGATAACATCTCTCTCCTTCTGATCCATATCACCATGCTGCAGGAAAATGAGCAAATCTTAATTCAAGAATTACTAGCCAGGTCAACACTGCATTTTCACAACATGTATGAGACCAAGCGTCCCTGGCTGCTACAGAGGTATAGCAGACAGGTATAGTTAAGAAACAACCTTAATTTAAGCAGGGGGAACGACAACACAGCACTTAGCAGCTATATTGTAGTCTAAATCCTGCTGTAACAAACATCAATCAGCACTCCATTAGAACATCTCTTACCAGAGCAGAAACTGTAAAGTCCCTGGCATGCATTTTCTCGGTGAGCCAGTCTACTTTGCGCCTTGTATTGAGGAAAATAACAGCCTGTGTGATAGTCAGTGTCTCGTACAAGTCACAAAGTGTGTCCAACTTCCATTCCTTAAATATTTCAAAGAAAAGATGATTTAGTTCCCTACTCTTCACTAGAAGTTTATTTCTATCAGCGTATTGCACCAAATCTTAAGACAAAGGACACTGGACATTAAGAAAGAGGTCCACCCCAGTCTTTAGGATCTAGTGCAGTTACTTTTCTTCTTGTGTGTACTCTGCTAGCATTATTACAGAAACCAAGACAGGATCCTAGTTTCTGCAATTTTAGCACAGTGCTTATACAAGAAGTAAACAAAGTAAACATATTATTGAACACTAAAGACAAATTACCTCTCTCTCAACATTTATATAAAACTGCTTGATTCCTTCAAGGGTCAATTCTTCCTTCTTCACCAAGATTCGAATCGGATCTCTCATGAATTTTTTGGTCACTTCCAACACATCAGTTGGCATTGTGGCAGAGAGCAACACGACCTTAAAAAAATGTAATTCAAGTAAACAGAACTTTCACAGTAATTAATGTTTGAGACCAAGCGTCTCTGTCTTAGTATGGAATAAAGCTAGACAGAGATAGTAATGTATCATATGCTTTAAGCAGGGGGAACGACAATAGAACACTTCAGTTATATTGTAACTGTGCCTGCATTAATCCAAGCCTCAACTTTGAGGGCAAAATAAATGCTTACCTGAATACTTGTATTTAATTTCTGGAAAATCTCATAGATTTGATCCTTGAACCCTCGGCTCAACATTTCATCAGCTTCATCCAAAACAAACATTTTGATCCATTTTGGAGCTGTTAAAAAAGCCATCCAGAATTTCAAAATTCCCAAATGTAACTATTGCCAACAGTACAAAACTTATACTCTTTAAGAACACTACTTACACAGGTACCGTCTGTTCAACATGTCAAACACTCTCCCTGGTGTACCAACAACAATATGTGGTGCTTCAGCCTGCAGCTTTTGCATTTCATTTCGAACATTGGTTCCACCAATGCAGGCATGACAAGTTGCTCCCATATAATCTCCAAGTGCAAGAATTACCTTTTGGATCTAAAGGCCAAAAACCATAATTATTCCATTGTAGAATTATAAACTTTGAAGACTTATTTCCAAGGCATAATGGCAAGTACTTGGTCTGCCAACAGCTTCTATGCATGCATAGCATAAAACTACTTCCAAGTCTAACCACGACTGTTCTAATTCCCTTAATTTCTTTACTGTCTGTTTCAAATGTGGGATCTTGTTATCCCAGACATTAGCTATACAATTAGTTTCCTACATTATTCACTGTGCAGGAAAGTGTAATACTGAAACATGATCTGTAATTACAGCTGGGGAAAATATTGGCCAAATTTTGTCTCAGGGTAGGTACTATTACCCTGTCTTATAATCTTGGATTTTAATAAAGGTTATGGCTTTATTAGAAAATTTTACTGAAGAGCCAATTATGTCATTAAGCTTCAAAAACATCGCATGCAACAGATGCATCACAAACTACTGAGACAGTCAAATGGTAACATGTCACTGCAGTTTTCATGTTGCACAACTGGATTCAACTACAAAAAAATGGCTATACATCTAGTCCACTGTTAACAGAAAACTTTGCATTCTCATCCTGTTTACTACTATAAACAGTACCTACACACCCACCTCCTGCTTAACTTTGAACTCCCTGCATGCATGAATAAAGGATGGCTGATAGGACAATTTGTACTGTCTTAAAATTATTCAGTTGTGAAACCTGAAACCTATGCAACACGCAAGCAGTTTTTTTTTGAACTACACTATCAATACCTGTTGAGCCAGTTCTCTGGTGGGGGCCAATACTAGTGCTTGGGTCTCCTTGAACTCAATCTCCAACTGTTGCAGGATGGAAATAGCAAATGTGGCTGTCTTGCCAGTACCTGACTGAGCTTGAGCAATCACATCATACCCTAAAAAAAGTAGGATACACATTTACCGATCCCACAGCAAAATTGTCACTTCTACCACACACCATGTATTCCAGTTGGAACATGATTATGCCCAAACAATCAAGTGATCAGCAGTGAGTATTTTCTTCATTTCAGGTCAGTCCCGAAAGATGATTGCCATCATTTCACTTTAAGGAATACAAATAGGTGCTAGCAGTCCCCCACAGGTTACTTTCCCTTTTATGGGCCACCTCAATGCTGAACAGTGAATTCGTTTTAGTAAATGAAGGTCAACACTTTTTTCTTTTACCTTTAATGCAAGGGATAATAGCTCTCTGTTGAATAGCTGAAGGCTTCTCAAAACCATAAGCATAGATGCCCCGTAGAAGAGACTCCTTTAAATTCATATCATCAAAGTTATCAACAATCTCATTCCAGTTGCTCTGTAAGTGTAAGAAAAGTAGCACCCGTAAGTAAGATGGAAAACTAATGCGGCACCTTTTCTTGGGCTAACAAAATCCACACCCATTTCTTACCTCGATGACACCATCGGGGTCCATTCCCTCTGGGCCGCCATGTTCTCTGCAGACAAAAACACTAAGAGTGAGACAATACAGCCCTCGGCCACGAGTTGTGACCTTTTCTTTTTACAATCCTTGGGTCATTACCCTCCCAGAAGGCGTTGTCTACCTCCAAAGCCAAACGAAGCTGGTTCCTGGGGAGGTATCCAGGTTCCCTTCCCCAATGGGAAGGCCTCTGGAGGAGAGCAGGCCCCAGGACCAGCCCCTTCCCCAGCTCGGAGAGCTCGGGCCCTCCCGTCCAGGGAACGGAGCGTCTCGCGAGAGCTCCGCGCGCCGAGCTCCGCCCCTAACTCTGCGCAAGCCCCGGTGATTGACGCGGACCGAGAGGCCTTGGCGAGGGGCTACGCCAACGGTTCGTCGGCTCCCCGGTGTCCGGCCCGGTCCCCACCGCCCACCGGCTGGGGCGTGAGGGGGGGCAACAGCGAACACCCCATCCTCTCATCTAAAGAGACCCAGGCCCCCTCACTCGCGTGGCAGGCCGTCAGGCTCACTCGGGGCCCCGGTAACGCAGTGCCTAACGCAGACTGCGCCACGGTTCCCCCCAGCGTGCCCGTCCGGCCCGGGGAGCGCGGACGGCAGGGCTGTAGTAACACGTCCCGGGAGCAAAGAGCAGCCTCCAGGCCCTCCATCTGTCCCCCTGCAATCCCGGGCCCTGCCCATCACGGAAAGCTCTGGAAGGGCACAAGGGGGAGGGGGGCTCTACCCTGAGAAAAATAAAAAACACCCAGTACCTAATTCCGTGCCACCCATTCCGTGTTCGGGGGGCGGGGGGAGAACATGCCCTCCACGAGGGGGTCCCGAGTACCGCCAGACCGCGCCGTACCTGTTATAGTCCGCAGAACCACCAGACATGATCCGAAGGACGCCTCCGAGCCCGACTGGAAAGACAGCCGCACCGCGCCACCCGTTTTTTATAGGCTCGCGGCCGGAACCCGTTTCTCGCGGAGGAATTTCTCCTCGCTCGGCGGTTGACCGCCAGCATTACCACCCTGGGGTTCGTTCTCTCACGTCCCATCCTCAGAGGCTCGATGAGAAAAAAAAACCCCAAATGTCCATGGGATCCCCCGATCTGATAGCATGGGTTGGAGATCCCAGGATTGGGGGGGGGGG